TATATAATCTCATATAGTTCTTCTGATAGCCTTGTATATTGTGCATCGAACACAAATAATAAATTAAAAATCAGAAACTGAAAAAGACTAAATTTTTTGATCAACAGAGAATACAGCTGCTTTGGACTCATTTTTGTTTGTTGAACACAGAACCTCAGAAATTTAGTCATTGTTTATAAAGTATTTGGAATAAACCACAGAAGCGTACGAAAATTTTAAAAAGCAAAAATAGTACAGTGGTGGTAGTAACTGGTGTATTAATAAGGGAGGCAGAGAGTAAAACAGGAATGCTATATGTTTGACTTGGGTTTTCTACAAACCTAAAGCTTTTCTTTTAAAAATACCGACTAAAAATAAATCCCAGTAAACATGCAGAAATAAGCTTAATATATGAAAGTTTTCCATAAGAAAAACAAACCATTGCTGAGATGAAAAAATGTATTCCTGCCATGGGTTAGAATACTTGATGTTATTTACAGCTCCAGTCTCTCACAATTGACCAAATGATTTAAAGCTTTACTTTGAGTTGTATTTATGTGTGCATGTGTGTAGATATAAGTCATGTGTGTGGGTGTAAGTCATGTGTGGGTGGTGTAAGTCACACATGTGGGTGTAATTCACATGAGTGTAGGTATAAGTCACATGTGCGGGGGTGTAAGTCACATGTGTGGATGTAATTCACATGAGTGTAGGTGTAAGTCACATGTGTGTGTGGGTGTAAGTCACATGTGCAGGGGTGTAAGTCACATGTGTGTGGGGGTGTAAGTCACATATGTGGGGGGTGTAAATCACATGTGTGTGGGGGTGTAAGTCACATATGCAGGGGTATAAGTCATGCATTTGTGGGTGCCTGCAGAAGGCAGAGGAGCTACAGGATCTCCTGGAGCTGTAGATACAGGTGTTTGTGAGTCATCTATTGTGGGTGCTGGGAAGGAATCCATATCCTCTGGAAGAGCAGGAAGCACTCTTAAGCATGATCCATATCTCCAGCCCAAACTTAATGATTTTTATTCCAGTGAAATTTAAACAAAAACTGAAGAACAATGGTTAATGTTTAAATGAATGGCAATAAAATCATGAAAGAGAAAGAAAGTCAGGAAACTTTCCCAAAAAGACATAAAAATTCAAGCCATAATGACTGAGACTAAGCATTTTGACTCAAGAGTACATGGGTCATGGGAACAAATGACAGAATTCAGAAATCAATCCATTTTAACACATGCAGAATTTTTGCTTATTGTGAAGGTGCTATTGTAGAGTGGTAGAGATGATCAAATGGCTAAAAAGAACTCTACTTAATTGTTTCTGTAGGACAAGGTGAAGCTTGGCCACTCTACACCATTGCATCCATCTATGTGTTCTAGATAGAACACAGACGCAAATGAAAGATGTAGAATAATGAAGCTTCCAGAATAAAATATAGGAGAGTACATTCTTCACGACATCAAAGTGTGTCAAGGTATGTTAATAAAACACAAAACATGTTAAGTATGAAAGAAGGATCTGTAATTTAGATTTTACTAAAATAGGGTGATGCTGTTTGTCAAAGTTTACCATTGAAGATAATGAAACTATGAGTTACATTTTGAAAGATAATTCCTGACAATCATATATCCATTAAAGATTTCACATTCAAAATAGTAAAAAAATTCTACAAATTAATAAGAAAAAGACAAAGTATCTGATCAAAAATTGGCCCAAAAATCCATCCTGAGTATGTACTTCATAGAAAAGCATATTTACATGGCAAACAGGTGCATGAAAAATTCTCAGTGTCATTAATCATCAGAAAATGCACCTCAGGCCATTTGGCAGTATCAGGGCAATGGTGTTGGTAAGGATATGCGTGTGTCCCAATACTCAGTGTTACTAAATTGCAATATTCTCTTGGGAAAGCTATTTAGAAGTGTTTTCTGAAGCTAGAGATGCTACTGCATACATATGTCTAAATCTGACAGAGACAGCTCTGAATGACAGGAAAGTAAGAGCACTCGCTGCACATCTACATAATTCTTCAGGAATAGACCACAGGTGTCTAAGGTGCCAGGAGTCTCTCCTCAACTGTTCTGTACAGACACCCATACAGAGCACAAAACCCTCATGTTATTTACCAAGGGAGGATCTTTGAGAAAACGGAAATAGTCTGTGTTTTCACATGAGAGCTACACAAGTGCATACAATTATTAAAACTCACCAAGTAGGGGCTGGAGAGATGATTCAGTGGTTTAGAGTGCTTAGGCTCTTCCTGAGTTCAATTCCCGTATTCTACTGCTCACAACCACCCATTAACTCCAGATTCTAGGGATCTGATGCCCTCTTTTGGCCTCTGTGAGCACCTGCACTCAAGTGCACATGCCCACCCACCCGTCCTCACATATTTTAAATAACAAAAATTAATCTTCAAACAAACACATCATCAAGTTATACCCCTAATACTTATATTCTATCTTGTATGCATATTTTGACATAAATAAAAATATTCAAGGAATAGTTCCATGCTTAAAACAAGTTAGCAGGCTATATAAAAAACAGAGATGATGTTCAGCATAATGTTCTTAGGCATATTAATGAATTATACTAATAAATAGGAATCCCATGATCTAAGTATGGGTACATGACATAAATAAGAAATCCACAAATGAAATGAAAACAATCAAAGAGTGTATGAAAAGCTAGTCAATCCCAGCAAAGGCTGACTCACTCTACATCAACACCCAACAGTGTTTTTAACTTAGACTCCTTGGGCATGTGAAGCACACACACACACACACACACACACACACACACACACACACACACACACACACACAAACACACATGCACTCACACACAGGTGTTTAAGGCAGCAATACCTTTTCAGTAAGGTTGTAAATTTTCACAACTTTCCATTGTTAAGCACTAGAGCAACCTTTATGCTGTGCATTAAAATATAAAAGAGCCTTATACTTCAACCCAGCCTTTCAACTTCTGTGGATTTATCTTAGGAAATAATTGTAACAACATTAACAATAGCTTTATTTACCAACATAATTTAGTACATGCTATACATGGTGCTTTGAATTGCATTTGCTCATTTGACAATTAAGTACTAGTGCTGGGCATCTACTGCATGCAGGATGCTTGAGAATCAGCTAACACTAATACTGTATATTGCATTGCCCCATTGAACCTTAAAATGGTTCTGTGAGACATTGTCATCATCATCATCATCATCATCATCATCACCATCATCATCTTAAAGTTGAGGCATCAATAGCTTTACCTGCTCAGTAAATGGTGAGATCCAGTTTGTCTCTAGGCAGATTAGCACCAGAGTGTAGATTACCAAGGAATTATATAATCAGATAAGTATTCAAGTATATGTATGCATATGATTTTATACACACAGATATCAGATGAAAATCTGGATGTTGATATATGTACTAATGTATTATTTTCCATCAAATAGCTTTCTCATAATTTGGAAACATTAGACATTACACAGAAATCTTACAGGAACTTGTTTAAGAAGTGTACTACAGCTATGACATGCTACGGAGATCCCATAAATGAAGAAGTATGGTGAAATGGGAAAGGATATTGACTCAAAATATGGGTCTTAAACATTTGGAGGGGAAAGATCTATTTTCAGAGGACTTAGTGAAAGCATGTGTGTTAGAATTTCCTTTGGGGGAAAGAATTATATTTGTAACCATAAACCTCACTGTACAGATAAAAAAAATCTAGGAGCATATGACAAGTTCAATCATGTCCCTGAGGATGGAAATGTGTAACATACTTCCTAGTTTACAGAATTCTCTGTCATTTGAATTTTCTAATAATAAGCATGAATTACATAATTCTCCAATTTAAATTTCAAGTGTTTTGAAGGCAACAGTGTTGGGTATTTCAAGACAATTTTGATTTTGATTTCTATGCTTCTCAATTTATAGTGAGCCATATTTTAATCTATATGTTCCAATAAATGTGAGAAACAGGAATGGCACAGATCTGATAGAGTGCATGTTGGCAATATGCCTCAGTTTCTAGAAAATATATTATACCTCTCATTTAGTAGCAACCCCATCAAAATTCAGTGAGTCAAAAAAGAAAAAGATATATTATATATTGTTCTTTTATTGTACATATATATGGGACCAGATTTACACTATATGTGCTTGGGTGTGATTGCTAAAGGGTAACATCTGATGTCTTCCTCAGTAGGTTTCTACCTAATTTTTTGAGGCAGGGTCTCTCACTGATCCTGGAGCCCATTTAGTCAGCCAGAAGGCCAGTAAGCCTTATTTAAAATTGGATACCCTGGAATATGTTTTTAAATACTAACTATTATTCTGGGTTGGGAATTCAGACTCAGGACACCATGCATAGACTTTTTTTTTAAATGTGGGTATTGGGTATCCAAGCTCAGGTCCCCATATTGTGTGGCAGGTGAGTGACTTACTGACTGAGCTATACTGTCAGATCGTGTTTTTCAAAGAGATCAGAATAGAGACATTTTCATTTTGAAGTTTCCCTAAATATGTATGTTCATGTGGTGTCTGTAACTGTGGCCTTCTTAGAAGAAATATCTTTGGGGGTGGGATTAAGGATCTTGAGGTGTAACTTACCCTGAATGAGGTGGATCTTAAATCACATGACAACTGTACTTATAAGGAAATAAAGAACAACTACACAGAAGAGACCAGGTAAAGGCAAACAGAACTATGCAGTGGTAAGCAGAGACTGGGCACGTCTGCCAGCTGCAACCAGGACAGAAGTGTGGAATAGCTGTCCCCTCTAGAAGGAATCACAGCACTGAAACTCTGATTCCAAACAACTGGCATCAAATAATGTAAGATTAAATTCCTATTCTCCTGAACAACTATGCATTGGTGGAAATTTATTACAGTATCCCTGGGAAATGAGTACACCTAAACATATTATTAAGACGTGCTTGCTTTTTAAAACCAGGTCCTGCAATTGGCCCAAACTAAATAGAATTCTAAAGACAAAAATCTTACCATTTAAACTCTGTCCTATTTGTATTGTGCTGGAGACAGAGTCTGTAACTGAACCACTAAGAGTTCTTGTATCAAACGCTGCATTGTTCTCTTCCAAACCATCCACGAAGAAGCTGATTTCCGTCTGATGCACCTGTAAGAATTATCACTGTCATCAAGTGCATAAACTTTTACTGGTACTAACAGCATTCCAGCAGCCTTCTTGTCTTTTTTCCAAGTTATTTTATTCTTTCTTAACTTCCTTCAGGTGGAAATATTGGAAGCAATTTATTTTAATGGCAAAACAATATCTCTGCATGTTACAGATCCAGATATGAATCTATACAGTGAAAATTTTATGCTGTGATGATGTATTCCAGGGTACTCACAGGACAACAGTATATGTACCCCATGGGTACCCTGAAATATGTTTTTAAATACTAATGCCATCGTGGTCATACTTGAAAACAAATTAATACATAAGGGGAAAGATATTCAAAACCAGATATCCCCAGATGTACTCACGATGTACATGTGAGTATTACCCAAGTTACTAGTAACTTGTCATAAACACTCATTTCTTTAGGAACTAGAGTACTAGCTGATAATTTTAAAATACACGTTCCCATTATAAAATAAGATAAAAATTTGCCAATCATATTCTATGTTGATCAGCCAAACAATTTAACAGCTATCTATATCAGAGGAGAGCCAACTTTTCCAATACACACCTGGAGAATATTTCAGCTTAGAGAATTTGGTGTGGTGGCCAAATAGTCCTTTACATGCCATCATCTCTAATGTAGTGCTAGCAAAGTAGTCATTGACAGTAACAAAAACAAATAAGCCTGATTGGGTGCCAGTTTAACATTAATCACAAAGCCCAGTGACCAGCCAGATATGACCCACTGGTTACAATTTGGATGACTTCTGGGTTATAGTACAAAAATAGATGTATTGTGCCGGGCGGTGGTGGCGCACGCCTTTAATCCCAGCACTCGGGAGGCAGAGCCAGGCGGATCTCTGTGAGTTCGAGGCCAGCCTGGTCTCCAAAGCGAGTTCCAGGAAAGGCGCAAAGCTACACAGAGAAACCCTGTCTCGAAAAACCAAAAAAAAAAAAAAAAAAAAAAAAAAAAAAAAAAATAGATGTATTGTATGATATGATACCTTAATCACCAGTCATCATTTTGTAGCTAATACCTCATAGGTTGTGGATACACATAGTCTTTGATGATTACACACTAATTCAGAATAAACAAATAACTCTTTAGCCACCAACTATAGTGTCTACAAATAGTCTTTCTGTTGAAGTGTTTCTGACTGTAAAAGGGATTCAAACTCTTAAACCAACTCATGTGGAAAGAGAAAGGACTGAGAGAAGGGATGGGCTGAAAGAGGGGGAAGAAGATGGACACTAACTATTGTGCAGTTAAGAGGCTGATGAAAACACTCTACTGAAGTGCAACCTTGGGAATGTTATTCTAGTGTGGAGTTTGAAAGACAATAAAGTTAGAGTTAGGATCACTGTAGGATCATTGATAAAATAGATAGATGCACTGGTCTGGTGTAGGACTTCAACTGTAAAGAAGCAATGGACAGTGTACATGTGAGATCAGAGCATACGGACAATGTCTTTACTAGGTTCACATTGCTGTCAGCCTGGCATGGGTCTGAAACTAGTTGTAAGTCATTGTGTCGATGCGCATTTTTATATATTTATTAGTCTTAAAGAATTTCATACAATGAATAGAATGTATTTTGATCAAGGCCACCTCATTCCCTCCCCTGTACTTCCCCTCCCCAACCACTTTTTCCTCCCAAACTATTTCAACATCTCTGTTAAAAGGGATTTGCAACAATGAAGGAAGGTAAAACCTTTACATTATTATGTGAATGCTTGCCATAGGAATATTTTTCCAGGGTACCCCACTCAAAAACCAAACTCAAGAATCTAGGGTTCAATGCCACAACTGCTTGATAATGTGGATTTCCTTTAAAAAAAAAAAGTTAGGCAACATTGCTGTTCTTCCTTCTAGCCAACTTCTTTTAATTTTAATGTGTTCTTTCTGAAATAGACTGACCTGGGATTGTATGAGACTCCATTTTAAACAAAGCTGAAATTGACCTAAAGTCATACACAGGTTCCTCATGAGCCCGCATCTATTTCTCTCTACTGAATAGTAGGAACGTACCTTTTTTTATTTTCCTTGCATCCCATTTTTCTCTGCCTGCTACTATTATTTGGTGTTTGACTGTTATCATTATGAAAGATACAGGCTCTTCCAGTTTGTTATTTGTAGCATTATCTCATGTTTTACAGCATCTTTGCACAACATGCAGGCTACATGAAATATAACTAGCGAAAAGTTCCCGGTGGTATTAATGCATAAAAAAGAACGTGGTTCCATCTCTACTGTCTTTACCCAGCCCAAAAACTGATGAACAGCCAATTTTCCTTTATCACATTAGCACAGCCATGAGGGAAACACATTTGTTCTCGTCAGTTACACTAAAGATACTATTACCAATCTAACATATACATGTTTTATATCAGCAGTATTCTCCGAGCTTGAGAGAGTCAACAATATATTAACAGGAGCATGACAGTTTATTTAAGAAAAGAAAATTGTCTCTGCAGAGGGACAGAAGTTAGAAATGTATGGCTGAAGCCTGTGCCACTGCTCTAATAAAGGTGATAATTCTTGGGCTTTCTTTATAGCAGGTAGCACTCCTGTGACAGCTCTGTCATATCATTCAAATAAAAATGTTGTCTTTTACAAGTTTAAGGGTACCTTTATTTTGAGTCAGATAGAAAGCACGCTTTTGATTTTCTGTATTCTATCTGTCGTCAGTGTTCAAGACCTTCATCTCTTTCTTTTTTTATCAACTCATCACGTATTTGCTTAGTAGAAGAATTCAGTGTCAGTCAGAGTGAATTCCAGAAGATGTCTTCACTAGCCTGGCACTTTAAAAATGATTCATGATGATCCTAAGCTGCTCTCCCCATGCCAAACCCTCCCCACCAACCATCTTTCTATAAATAAGATTAAATCTTTGGTTTTTCTGAACCATGGTTTATGTTACAAGATTGTCCAAACTATTTTACAATTCTGATCTGGGGCACCATCACCCAGACATTGTGAAGACAATAGTGGCCTTTTTGTAATAGATCATCTCAATGCTCCCCCTGGCCAGTTATTGAGGGAAATAGGAATGTATACGATGGGATTTCTGATTTGTGAAGAGAAAGCCTCTTACAAAACAAACCTCCTATAGCTCTCATTCTCTGGCCTGGGCAGATGAGAACAGCTTGCACATGTTAGCTGATGGGCTTTGAATGAGTAAATTGCAGATCCAGCAGCATTTGCAAAGGGCTTTAAACCAACCCCCTTAAGAGGTCCATAAGTACATGGAAATAAGTATGAGTCATTTCAAGCCCTTATTCCATGGGAGTTCCTTATTCTATTTTAACCACTCAGCTGCTCAACTGTGTGCCCCCATTAGAGGCTAGACTCATCCATTTGAGTGAAAGAGGCCATACATGAAAATAACAATAAATCCTAGGCACTTTCCTCCTGTACTCATGCCTGATTGGTAAGGAGTATATTTCAAATGACACAAAAAGAAGAGCATAGTCGTATACACCTGAAACCCCAGCATTTGTAATGCTAAGGCAGAAGGATCACCACAAGGTGAAGGCCAGCCTGGAATGACTACATGGTATAACTCTCAAAAGTCCTGTAATACATGTAAGTTTATATGTAAACATATTGTTTAAATGAATTTTTTTCCATCTGGGCTAACAAAGCTCCTACCAACAGCCAAAGATTATCTAACCAAAAAACCCCAACATGGCAGGCATGAGAAGCCTTCTTTTGAGTTGTTGGTCAGGATTGTCCAAGAGACTCCCAAACACTATAGGCTATTTCTGTTGCCCTTAGCTGCCTCCTGTAAGTGGAAAGTAAATCTCTGTTACTGAAGACATCATGCACTTTGGACCTGGGACCTAGAGGAACTAAGCTGAATCTGACCTGAATGTCTCCTCCCTGGGGGCTGTTTCAAGATACCAGAATGTGCCATGCAAGCTTCCAAAGGAGGGAAATAACTAAAGAATCACAACAATGGCCAGTATGGTAGAATAATTATAAGGGTATAGTAGTGGCACACATACCCTTCCAGTATCACAGCTCTCTAACTGGACTAAGTACTCACTCAACAACAGGGAGACCATGCCTGGTATTGGAAACCTAGTTAACTACCTAGGGCTAGTGAAGTCATGGCTCCTGGAGGAGAACCTACAAACACCACTTTATTAAATCAGTGCAATCTCTAAAGACATCTTCTATGGGTCCTTATAACCACTAATAAGTGTAGCCCTCACCCCTCCTGAAGGAAACTTCTCTTTGCAATAGACAGAGACCATTACAGAAAACTACAACTAATCAATCGTACTGAAGAGTTGTAGAGCTCTGTCTCAATGGATACATCTACAGAACACTGCCACACTTAAGGCTTAGAAATGATTGTAGAAGAGATGGCAAGATTGTAAGAGCAAGAGCAATGAGGAGTTTGATGTGGGGCTGTGTCTTTTAGTAATGTCAGAAGCTACACTCAGTCTCACCAACACATCTGCCAAATAAGACCTGCACTGTAACGGACTTTCTTGGACTGCCAACCCCTAAACCATAACACGGAGACTTATGATTGATTATGAATGCTCAGTCTTAGCTTAGGCTTGTTTCTAGCTAGCTTAAATTAACCTATTTCTATTAATCTATGTGTTGCTCTGAGGCTCAGTTACCTCATCTGTGTACTGTTCATCCTGCTTTCCTACTTCCTCTGTGTCTGTCTGTCTGGCCTCTGGCTGCATGGCTGCCAGCTGGCTGACCCCCTGCTGGCTGGTTGACACTGCTTTTTTTCTGCCTGACAGTCTCAACTCTCCCTTCTCTACCTAGCTATTGGCTATTCAGCTTTTCTTAGACCAATCAATCTAAGGTGCCTTAGATAGGCAAGGTGAAATAGCAACACATCTTTACATAGTTAAAACTTCAGCATAAACAAATGCAAAACATCTTTACATAGTTAAACAAATACTCTAGTCAACATTTCCCCCTTTTGTCTAAATAAAATGGAAAGGTCTTAATATGAACATAG